AAAAATAATAAATCTGATACTCGATGTTTGAATGTAACGACGTAAAAATCGATATCGATTCATCCAAATTCAATTACTTTCGTCGTCGAAGGAAGGGGAATTAAATTTTTTTTATTCAATGTCGAGTCACCTCGTCCCCCCCCGGGTCTAATCGTTACTCGATGAAAATAGGGGGCGGGGGACGTCACCTGTAGGGTTTCGATTCTGTTATGACATCGCGAGAAGCTCGAAGCTCGTCCACGAACAACGAAAGCGTTCGACGAACAACGATACGATACAAGCTGCCTGCGCTCATCTCTCGACTGTTACTCAAATTCTCCAAGGGGTATGTACAAGTCGACAGGGTTAAAAAGCTACCAATGTACAAATCAAGCTCTAGTCGACCCAGACTTCTATGCTCTTATATAAAAATTCATTTCTGTTTTCAATATTCAATCGCGAAGAAGCCTAGGTCAAGCTTGAACCTTTTTTTTAAGTACCACGAGGGTTTAGATTACTTGGCAAGCGAAAGCTGAGACCAACAACCCTGCACACTCTAATCAAATCATTATCAAATCTAATTTCTATATTCAATCATAATAAAAATTTTATACGATTTATTTTAAAACAAGTTTTAGAATTAAACTGGAGATTCTTTTTTGAAAGAGCGAGAGTGGAAGGGTTGAAGGGTCTCGATTAGAATAAGTGTTTTATATACCGCACTGAAGCTCGTCTTCTGCCCTGGGGCAGTCGTCGAATCCGTCGCAAACGGAGCTCTTCGGTATGCAAGAGCCGTCGGTGCACGTGAAGTCCATAGAAGGGCACGGGGCCAAATCTACAGCGGCACCGGCAAAACAGACACACAGGCTGGTTTTTTCAGAACCAAAACCAGTCGCCTCGAGCGCACCTCGAGGCGGCCAATTATATCTATTCAGATATGTATGTACAAGCCATCGGGTCCACCGGATGGACACATTTAAAGCGGGACAATAGTACTCGGACCCGATGATACACTGAAAGCACTTGTTATGATGAATGGTATTTATACATTTTCGTCTGCCCGACTGCGATACCGAATTCCCATTGTTCTTTTCCTATTGTCAGCTCATATCTTTTCGCGCTGCGAAATGCTTTTAAGTTTTTAAGTCAGCAGTTATTAAAATTAGTATGCTTCCTGGAATAATTTATAAGCTCGTTCAGCTGATGATACAAAAATTATTTGTCTTAGGAATTTGATACAGGATTTTGTGTCAGATCGATGGGGTTCGCAGTTGGACAGCACGCGACTCCTCGCGGGGGGTTCCTTTGTACAAGGGAGAACTTTTTAAGCTAGACATTTAAAGCGATCTGAACGAAGCCCCTCGAAGGCGGTTATTCGTTGTTACTATGTACAGTGTGTGTGTGTGTATGTGTATGTAATGAACGTACAACTCGTGTCTGTGAAATCTGAATCCGAGACGATGTTGTCTCGTGTAATCTCTCGGCTTTGCCACTGAGCTTCCAGACAACCAAATCATACAGTCGTAAAACGGCCGATGGCTTCCTTGTTAATTCAAGATCCATCGGTCTGATTTTATTCCAAACGTAAGATAAATATCCACTCGAGAATGACTGACGAGGTCAATCGATTCGATTTGTGAATATTTTTTTTAATTAAGACCGTAGAGGAAGCCATGGCACGATTGGGCGTCGAGTCAATTTATCCCTAAGGCTTTTGTACAGCACGAATGGACGTCACAAAGTTCTAACACATAAACATTGTCTCTTGTCACGGTTCTAAGCCACCTCTTTGTACAGCGAACCTTTCACTGAACAGTTTTTGAAGATCCCACGAAGAATAGTTTAGAGAAAGAGGAGGACACCCACGGAGGACTCTCTACCTTTGGGTCCACAATCGGCCTCGTCCGATCCGTCTTCGCAGTCAGTCGAATTGTCGCACAACAGGGCCGAATCGATGCAGATCCCGTCGCAAGCGAACTGTCTCTCGCCGCATCCGTTTCTCTTAGTTTCGCTCCCGTTCTCGAGGCTCACGTCGTAGTAAACGTCACCGTAATCGCACTGGCTCTCGTCGCTGCCGTCCTCGCAGTCGTCGACGTCGTCGCAGACTCTGTCTTCAGATATGCAAGTCCCGTTGTCGCATAAAAATTCATACTGGTCGCATATGAACATCTCGAAATCGGGTGTCCATTCCCTGGTCGCATTGACCAGCCCTTCGACAGGACATTCGGCCTCGTCGCTGATGTCTTCGCAGTCTGCCGCACCGTTGCAAACGTCGTCCTTCGAGATGCAGGTCCCGTTGTCACAGAAAAATTGATCCTCGTTGCACCTGAACGCATC